GAGGTACGAGGGATTTGGGACGAAAACGAGTACGATGACAAACATGGGGATTTTACAAGATGTGTGCGAATCTCTAGGTTAAACTATCTAACGTACGAATGACGGACACTCTCTGGTCCAATTAACGCGATCGTACGTGTCGAAAACCTCGTACTTGAATAGTTTCTTTTGGAACGTCAAAACTCATATTTCGTCATATCCCAACAGGGAAGGTTCCTAATGAGAAGGGTTCTCTGAAAGTAGGACATGGGTAAGTTGAATGTCGGAGGTCGCAAGTGACAAACAAAGTGACAAATCACAGAAGGCTTCATAATCACATGGGCTCTCTGAAAATATCGCCTTCATCGATTCTAGGGGAGGTGACCCAAGCCCCAAAAAGACACGCCCTGCTGATTTTGGGGCATGGTCCCTTAAATATCAACTGACTTTCTTTTCCGATGTATTGGCTGTCTTGACTACGCCAATGAAGTGCATCCCAAGACGGAGCATTTCCTCCTCAGCTATAACAGAAGCAAAGTAAGAGTCAGCACAGACGACTCTCCAACTATTAAGCCACCAAAGTACCAATTCCCTCATCACCTGGAACCCATGTGGCAGTCCATTGCCTTATTCCTCTTCATTTGTCTTTGTAAGCTTCAGACGAAGCATCACGCCACTATCACCCCACGCCAAATCTTGGATCTCACACCCATTTTCTGTTTTCCTGTGAGACTGACGCTACTGTTGACAGAAGCGACTTTTGTTGCTGTGTCACCAAGGGTCCATCTTGCTTTGATTGCGTAATTGGATTGACCAGTTGCTGTTTGGCCGCAAACAACCTCCTCGACAACTCCAAAAACAACTTTTGACTTGGCATTGGAGCCATAGCGACGCTTGCACTCGGCCAAGCTGGTGACCAAGATTGCCCTTGTTGATACTCTTGCCCTATTTGATGTTTGGGGTTGCTAGGTGCCATGGTTGGGTTGTTGTAGTTGTCGTTGCGATGGTGATGATGTCAGTTTTTTTTGCACACAAAGCTCATTGAAGCACTTTAGACGAAGCATATCTTATTCCGTCACAGCAATTTTCAACCAGTGACCCTATAGAAAATATGAAAGATTGAATACTAAGGAATACGCTCTGAAAGTAGGAGGTTGGGTAAATATGTTTACGGTAGTTAGGTAAGACCGTCAAAAGCTGCCTCATATGAGGTATATGCCTCATATGAGGCGCGGTAGAATAGACACTAGAAAAAGAATCGTTTGAAAAAAGACACTAGAAAAAGAATCGTTTGAAAAAAGTGGTTGAGGAAACAAATCGTTTGGGATAGACCAATTATGCTGGCACTGTCAATACTGCTCTTAAATAATATAGATGTTTCTTTGCCAATCCTGATCGGCACGTGACCAAAACCCCAACGAAACTTTTCTGCTGTTTGATTTTGGGTTCACGATCAATTTGAGGGTTTCAAAGTAATGGCACCCAAAGATTAACCCCCTCACAGGGGTCCGTACAAATTCAAAGCATGCAAATCGCGCGTTTGAGAAAACTTGCGGTGGGTCCTGCGCAAGTCATTGATGGACAAGGAAGCGTGGCTTACGTTGCTTCGTCAGGAGCACAGGAATTACCGCCGCGCCACCAACCTTTCGTGGACCATACGTGCCCCAAATTCACCCCGCCTTGTTGGGGGCGAAGAAGTCCTTACCTCCTGGGTGGACTTGAGCAACTTCTGCCTTTATACAGATGCCTCACATGGTTGTTGACTCACCACTTTACAGTTCTTCTGGACCTTTACAGCCGACAGTTTACCGGCAATCGAATGCCCATAGAGTAGCATCTAACCAATTAATGTCTCCGTTATTATTATTGATACCCCCAAACAAGCTCTATACCCATTTCCCCTCCCCTGGAGAGCTGGATAACTTCACCCAATATTTCTTTCAAAAATTTCAACACCAAGTTTTTCATACTTGTCAAGACGAAAGTGCCTAGTTCAAGCCACAGACTTCCTACACAACCAAAAACTGTACCTGGTACAAGAAATGCCTTCGCCCAAGGACAGACATTATCCAGGACTGCACCACACTGGCTGAACATCACTGCCAATCAGATCATTTCATGGTAAGGACAAGTAAAGGATAGAAAGGGCTTAGAAGAATTGCCTAGGGATTGAATAGACGTATATCATGAAACAACTCCAGATTTTAATTTTAGGAATTGAGCATATTCTCGAAGTCATTGAGGCCCAAATCATCGTTGTCATCAAAGTCTTCCAGGTCGACGCCTTCGATACCATCTTCTACCGATGCTAAAAGGGCGTCCATGTCTGCGAGGTCATCGTTGTCAATATCTTCAAGCATGTCATGCCCAAAAGTTGCCGCTACTGGGTTTTCATTGCCACTTGTTGACTCTTCCTTGTTTGAGCTTGGTGCTTTTTGCACCTCGGAAGAGATTTCATCTTCCACCATATAAGAGCCTGAGTAAAATACTATTTCTTCAGTTTCATCTGTCTTTTCAACGTTTTCGTCATTGTCCAAAGCGTTCAGTGCTTCCATCAGCGAATCTTTTACAGGTGACGAAGGTATCGCTATTGAATCCTCTGAAGGCAATTCGAAACCACTTCCGATACTAAATTGAGGTTGTTCTGCACCTTCCCCTGCTTTGCCTTTGCACGCATCGTCTTGGCTCTCCACTTCTTTGATCTCTTTGCGCCGTCTTCCAACAGTTGGACCTCTAGTTGGAGGACAATTGCCCATTTGCTTCACCTGTCGCTTCTTTCTGTTCGATATTACTTCCCAAACCCGAGAATCGCCGCTCAACATCACATCAAACGCGGTAGCTTTGACAACAGGGCTGTTCTCTCCGTCTGTCTCGTCTTGCGCATCGCAATCGGCGACGAGATCTCCATCTTGTTGCTCCTCAATGTGTTTTGTTGCAGTCTCTGCGTCCACTTTCTCAAAAATCAAGTCTACAAAAAAATCGTCAGGGTATCTTGGATCACTACAAGCGCCATCTAGTGCTTCCTTCGATAATCTCAAAACGTTTGAAGACGGAGCGTAGCCGGAATGAAAAGCCGCTAGAAAGAAACAACTTTGAGTTGCCAGCCTCAGTTTGATTCATGATCAAGTTCTCGAAGTACTCACCCCTACATCATAATGAGATTGAAAGAACCAAGCCAAAGCACATGCAAAGAATCACAAATACAAAAAAAGGAGTAAGCAGCTTTTGTCTCGTTTCTGTTCTTGAAACGATCGGACTCACCTGAACATCGATAAACGCCTATTGTCAGATGTGAGGTGTCGAGCGCGAATGAGAATATCCCCGCTCAAAGTTAGGTTGATTTCATTGAACGGCACGGCGCCATCAGACACTGTTACGAACGGAAGATCTTCAAGCTGCTGATCAGGTTTCACTGTAGCTGCAGTTGTGTAAATGAGTTTTCCAGCTTTGAATATTTGCTTCGAATAGATGACATGAGATTTCAGAGCCTACGCTGCAACAGAACAAAGCAAAACTCACCAAATAAGGCGCGCATCCCATTTGACTTTCGTCGTCATCTCGAGAATTTTTTGGTGGACCTTTTGGATTTGATAGTCTTTCGGTTGTGGTCGGTGCCTTCGCAAACTGTTGAAAAAAATTGAGCAGTGACCACGAATTCTATTCAACGAGAACACTTAGAAATCTCACTCTGGGGGCTTCGCTCATGATAATTCGCTTCAGCAACAGAGGGGGCTGAGATGGCTTCACTCCGTCCAATACATTCTTGAAGTATCCAGCATATCGCCTTTGTGATGGAATTGTCAACATCATTGGCTCAATACCCTTGCATTTCGCAATGTAATCAATGGCTTCGTTTATGTTTCCAAAACCAGCTTCACCCCTTCTCCCATGAATACAAAGTAGAAATAATTCATCAGGGCAGGAGAGGCTTCAATGTGAGTTGGTGGCCGACAGTAAAGATACATCTGTTGCTTAGAAACTCACATCCAGCATAAAAAGGATGCAACGACCATAGAACTTCGTCCTTTCCCTGTCAAACAGTGAACAACTGCAACATTACGGTCGTCTGCTTTCATCCAATTCTCTAGCGCTATCAGGAGCTTCAATAAAAGGCCAAGTGGTGGGGCGGGCGAGCTGAAACAACAAAACAGTTGACGTGTGAGTATCCTTTGGATGAACAATATGCAGTACACGAGTAGAACTGGGATAATGAAATAACATACCCAGGAAACGAAAAAGTGAGAACCTGGTCATCCAGAACAGAAGTCTCATAATCTACTTCGCTGAGGTTATAAACCAAGAACCGTCCATCATGCCTTCGTGCAAGCATGTGACCCACTGCAGCTAGCTTCCGCTCCGCAGTAATCATGGGAAAGTCCTTTGATTGCATTGCAGGATGGCTCATTATGATAATGCGATCTGTCACGTAGGTCTGAAGAAGCCAGAAATTATAAAATATGCATGAACAAAAAGACGAGGGGGCTTAATCACAAAAACAAAAGAAGTAAACTGCAAGCCAGGTTTGACTGTTCTCCTTACCACTTCAGCATCTGAGAGTGCTGCTCTATCCAACGGAAGGGATGGATCTCTTTTGTGAAACCCCTTCTTTCGTAAGGCGAAGTTTTCCTCTAAACGAGCCCGTTCGGTGTCGACTAGGTCCTTTATGTCCTTGGTCGCTTCTGCAGTACGTTGTGTGATTGAAGTCCAGCCCATATGTAGATTCTTCAGCACCTTTTCTTGGTCGACGCCAGGAACTTTCAGCCCGGATGCAATTGGATCACCTTTGCTAGATTGGTCAACTTCTTTGGACCCGGAAGTCTCTTCGGTAGACGCTTGTGTTGGCCTGGTCTTTTCCAATGCTTCCACCAAACGCTTTGAAGTGTGCTTTTCTGCTTGGTTAAATACCTGGGTGCCTTTTTCCAATGCATCTGTTAGCCCTCTACTAGCTTTTTCTGAAAATGATGACCACATAGCAAGGCTCCGTCCTGTTGACTTATCCTTCGATCTCTTGAAGAACACTGTACGTGATGAATTATTGCCTTCCAGCAGATAAGACTCTCCCAAATGTTGCCAGCCGGCCGCACGCCTACCTGTGTCCGCAGAGAGCCCAAACCGGGTGAAATTTCCAACGATTTTTCGAAAACAAATTAAAATTCCTAATTCCTAAATCCAAAAATAAAAGCGCAAGCACGCGCTTCAACGACAAACGACCAGCCGGCTTGCTTGCTTCCGAAACACACAGAAACAGCAAAGACACAACATCTTCACCGACAACAACAAAAACATCACCACAGGAACAGCATCCTTTTCGTTTGTGTGCTTTCAAACCAACCAACAAATCGATCTCTTCCCTCTCCTTCTGCCAGTGGTAGGCCAGGAGCAATCCATATTCCTTAGAGACAGGTTCCTGCATCCGCTTCTGCACTCTGAAATTTTTCCACCTGCCTGTCTACTTTCATTGCGCAAAGAGATTGTCAGTGTGTACCATAAAAGCCCCATTGTGTTGTGCCAAGTCCTTGCTTTTATAAGGTTGGAGACTTGGTGCAGTGAAGTAATTAAGATGTCTGGACGGTCTACAGGTAGGAATGCTACTGCTCTGCGACGAATCAAGAAGGAAGGGAAGGTCAATTTGAATTTGGTATCTA